TGTCATTTTCTGTGTGGCTGGAACTGACACATCCCTGTTCTCCCAGGCCAGAGGAGAAAACCTTTCAGCATCCAGCCCTGGCTGTGAGGGGAGCAGGCTCAGCCCATCCCATCTCTGCTCCTGGGAATGTGGAGGCTCTGAGCCCTGGCAATTCCAGGCTTTGGGGCCAGCTCTGGTGGCTCAGTGGGGACATTTGTGCTTGCAGGCTCCAGCACGGATATCAGCGAGGACTGGGAAAAGGACTTTGATCTGGACATGACAGAGGAGGAGGTGCAGCTGGCACTGTCCAAGGTGGAAATGTCTGGGGAGGTGAGTCAGGGCACAAAAACTGCCCCCAAAAGCATCACCAGCCCCTCAGGGTGTGGGGTTTGTGAGGGTGCCCAGGACGAGGTGAGAGATGAGAATCTGACTCCAGGTTCTCAGAAGGCTGATTATTATATTACATTATATTACATTACATTACATTACATTACATTATATTATATTATATTATATTATATTATATTAGTTATATTATATTAATTATATTTTACATTATCTTAATTATATTTTACATTATATTACACTATACTATATTATATTTATGATATATATTGTATCCATATTTATTTTATGTATTTTATTTATTTTAATAATATAATATAATATAATATATAGATATAATATAATGTAATATATTTATTATATTATATCCATATTTTTACTTATTTTATTTTATCTTTTATTATATTTATTTTATTACTATAATATTATATAAAATAATATAGATAATATAATATAAGTAATAAAATAAATATAATAAATATGGATATAATGTAATATATTTATTATATTATTTATTGTATCCATTATAGTATATTTATTATAGTATATTTATTATATTTATTATATTGATTATATTATATTCATTATATTATATTTATTATACTGAATGCTATACTAAAACTATACTAAAGAAAGAGAAAGGATAAATCAGAAGGTTTCACAAGAATGAATAATAAAAACCTGTGACTGACTCAGAGTCTGACACAGCTGATGGTGATTGGTCATTAATTAAAAACAATTCACATGGAACCAATCAAACATTCACCTGTTGGTAAACAATGTCCATCCACATTCCAAAGCAGCAAAACACAGGAGCAGCAATCAGATAATTATTGTTTTCATTCCTCTCTGAGGCTTCTCAGCCTCCCAGGAGAAACTCCTGGCCAAAGAGGATTTTTCAGAAAATACCATGGTGACACTCAGGGTGCAGAGGGGGCCTGGTGGGGTGAGTGTGCAGCTTTCCCAGGGGGAATCTGTTGATTTACAGACACAAACTGTTGAAACCAGCTCAGAAATGGATTTTCTCTTGTTTGCAGCTGGAAGATGAAGAGTGGGAAGACTGGGAATAAAGCAGCTGCTTGCAGTGTGTGTCACAGGCTCATTCCCACCATCGAATGTGAACTCAGACTTGGACCAGCTGTTCCTTTGTGTGTGACTGTGCTGGGGCTGCACCCCCAGCCTGGAGGAGTTCCCATTCCTGCAGAAACCTGGGGGCAGCTCAAGTGACCCCTGCAGCTCCACGAGGAGGAAGCAGGAGGTCCCTGGCACACAGGAGCCCGACTTCTCCATAGGTCCTAGAGACTGGCCAAGCCAAAACTGACCCTGAGGAGGCAGAGCGAGGGGTCCCTGGGGCCAGCTGGGCACTCAGAGCCCTGCCAGGCTGCCAGCTGGCTCCTTCCCTGCTCGTGTGTGCACGTGGAACCCTCACCTGAGAGGCTCCTGGACGTGGCTGTGCCTGCTCTGCTCGCTGCTCTGCAATTCCCGCCCAGGGAGGGCCTGAGGGCTGCAGGTGCTGTACAAAAAGCGCTTGGCTCGTGGCTTTGACCCTGGAAGGAGCCAAACCCCTGCCAAACCCTCAGCTTCTGCCTGGCTTTTTGTCTTGGAAGCTTTTTCTCATGGAAATTCTCATTTCCAGCAGTTCCTCCAAGAGCCAAGGCCTGCTGCTCTCCCCCCCTTTGCAGCTGCAGCACCTTCCTGCTCTGGGTTTGTGTCTTTCTAGTTGAATTCTCCAAGGAAAATCCTCGTGGCTCGCTCTTACTGCTGGGCTGGCAGTGCTTTGGGTCAGCTGGGACAGAACCCCAGTGTTGGTGGCACTGGTTTGGGTCAGGTGGGACAGAACCCCAGTGTTGGTGGCACTGGTTTGGGTCAATTTGGGACAGAACCCCAGTGTTGGTGGCACTGGTTTGGGTCAGCTGGGACAGAACCCCAGTGTTGGTGGCACTGCTTTGGGTCAGCTGGGACAGAACCCCAGTGTTGGTGGCACTGGTTTGGGTCAGTTTGGGACAGAACCCCAGTGTTGGTGGCACTGGTTTGGGTCAGGTGGGACAGAACCCCAGTGTTGGTGGCACTGGTTTGGGTCAATTTGGGACAGAACCCCAGTGTTGGTGGCACTGGTTTGGGTCAGTTTGGGACAGAACCCCAGTGTTGGTGGCACTGGTTTGGGTCAGGTGGGGACAGAACCCCAGTGTTGGTGGCACTGCTTTGGGTCAGCTGGGACAGAACCCCAGTGTTGGTGGCACTGATTTGGGTCAGGTGGGGACAGAACCCCAGTGTTGGTGGCACTGGTTTGGGTCAGGTGGGGACAGAACCCCAGTGTTGGTGGCACTGGTTTGGGTCAATTTGGGACAGAACCCCAGTGTTGGTGGCACTGGTTTGGGTCCATTTGGGACAGAACCCCAGTGTTGGTGGCACTGGTTTGGGTCAATTTGGGACAGAACCCCAGTGTTGGTGGCACTGGTTTGGGTCAGTTTGGGACAGAACCCCAGTGTTGGTGGCACTGGTTTGGGTCAGGTGGGGACAGAACCCCAGTGTTGGTGGCACTGCTTTGGGTCAGCTGGGACAGAACCCCAGTGTTGGTGGCACTGATTTGGGTCAGGTGGGGACAGAACCCCAGTGTTGGTGGCACTGGTTTGGGTCAGGTGGGGACAGAACCCCAGTGTTGGTGGCACTGGTTTGGGTCAATTTGGGACAGAACCCCAGTGTTGGTGGCACTGGTTTGGGTCCATTTGGGACAGAACCCCAGTGTTGGTGGCACTGGTTTGGGTCAATTTGGGACAGAACCCCAGTGTTGGTGGCACTGGTTTGGGTCAGGTGGGGACAGAACCCCAGTGTTGGTGGCACTGGTTTGGGTCAGGTGGGGACAGAACCCCAGTGTTGGTGGCACTGGTTTGGGTCAATTTGGGACAGAACCCCAGTGTTGGTGGCACTGGTTTGGGTCAATTTGGGACAGAACCCCAGTGTTGGTGGCACTGGTTTGGGTCAGGTGGGGACAGAACATGGTGGCACTGGTTTGGGTCCATTTGGGACAGAACCCCAATGTTGGTGGCCACTTCAGCCCTTGCCAAGGTCCAGCCTGGCCCAAAGACCCCCTCAACCTCAGCCTGGCCAGTCTGAGGGGACAGAGGCTCCCAAATTGGGGTGTCCCTGTTGTGTGTCCCCATCTGAGCCCTGTCCCACCCGTGCCAGCCCTGCAGCCACCACGAGCTTTGGGTTCCGTCACTCAACCCCTGGCACTGTTTGCTTCACTCCTTCAGCCCCACAGCTCCTTTTTGGGGCAGTTTCATGTCACAGCAGGAGATGTTGCTCCTGCACAGTTATCCCAAGGGGACAGAACCCTCCGTGGCCTTTGGGGTGCTGGGGTGACACTTTCTGCCTTTGGACAGCTCAAACGAGGTGCACTTGGAAGAGTTGGGGTTTTGGGGTTGGCTTTTCCTTCTTTAGGTGGGATCATCCCTGTCCTGCCACAGCCCTGGGTCCAGCAGAGCCTCTCCTTGTCCTGGCTGGGATTGTGGCAGGCAGGGGACACAGGGGACATCAATGGGGACATCCCCAGCTGATCCCACAGCAGAGCTCGAGGCTGCAGCATCTGTGTCACTTTCTTTCCTTCTTTTAGTGGAATTAACCGTGGGGTTGGTTGTGCAATATTCTCTCTGTTCTTGAACTATTCCTCATCTCCCTGAGCCTTTTCTAGCTGGGGTGACAAACCAGGAACAATTCTAACAGCTGCTGGTAGTTTTGTAACAAAGACTTTCTCCAAACCTTTTACAGACTTGCAGTTAACAGCGATTAAAGGAGTTCTCAGAGTCTCTGCCGTGTTCTCATTTCCTCTGGGGTGGGGATGACACAAATTTTCCTTTCCTCCCATTTCCCTCAGGAGAGGGAAAGAAATCCCCACTGCCCCAGGTTCCTCAAGCTCTGGGTGACCCCATAAATCCAGCCAGTCCTCAAACTGTGACCCCATAAAACCAGCCAAGTCCTCAAATTCTGTCCCCCCTTTTCAGTGCTTTGAGTGACCCCATAAATCCACCTGGTCCTCAAACTCTGTCCTTCACTTTTTGGGGCTCTGAGTGACCCCATAAACCCTCAGGGATCTGTCTGGGGCAGTGCTGGGCTGCAGCAGCTCCTCCTTCCTGCAGGCAAGGGAACGGGACACGAGTGACAGGACAGAAGTGACAGAACCCGTGTGAGGGGACATGAGTGACAGGACAGAGAGGAAACGAGGGAAGGAACATGAGTGACAGTATAGAGGGGGTAGAACCCGAGTGAGGGGACACGAGTGACAGGACAGAAGTGACAGAACGCGAATGACAAGACATGAGTGACAGGGCACAAATGACAGGGCACAAGTGGCAGGACAGAGGTGACAGGACACGAGTGACAGAACCCGGGTGAGGGGACACGGGTGACAGGACGGAGATGACAGGACACGAGTGACAGCACCCGGGTGAGGGGACACGAGTGAGGGGACACGGGTGACAGGATAGAGATGACAGGACACGAGTGAGGGGACACGAGTGAGGGGACAGAGGTGATGGGACGCGACCGCCCCTGCAGTTCCTCTCCCGCTCGCTGGGGGCGCCCTAGAACCACAGCCGCCCGCTCCGCGCTCACAGGTTTGGCCCCGCGCGGCCGCCGTCCGGCCCGCGCCCCGCCCGCCGCCGCCATATTTTGGCCGCCGCCGCCAGCACCGGAGCCGCCGCCGCAGCCGCCGCGATGGGTGAGGGCCCCGAGGGGCGGGCGCGGCCCGGGGAGCTCCGGGCACGGCCGAGGGGATGGGGTGGAGCCGGAGAAGCCGCCCCGAGGCCGGGCAGCGCGCACAGCCCGTCCGCACCGCGCTGCCGCCGCCCTCGCCTCTCACCGGCGTCCCGGGCGCTGCCGGGGCTGAGGGCGGCGGGGCCGGCGCGGCCGCTGAGTCATCCCGGGGCCGCTCCGGGGGCCGGGGGGGGTCTTTGGGGACTCCCGGTGAGGGCGGCCCGGGGGTTGTGACCGCTGAGGGCAGCGCCTTTGGGGAGCCCCGGGGTGGGGCGGGAGCTGCGGGGGGAGCCGGGGTGGGATAGCCCAGATTTGGGGTGAGGTACCCCGGGTTTGGGGGTGTCAGGGTGGGATAGCCCGGATTTGGGGTGGGGTACCCCGGGTTTGGGGGTGTCAGGGTGGGATAGCCCCGGTTTGGGGTGAGATACCCCGGGTTTGGGGGTGCCAGGGTGAGATAGCCCGGGTTTGGGGTGCCAGGGCTGCAGGGCCCTGGGTTTTGGGGGTGCCAGAGTGAGATATCCCGGGTTTGGGGTGCCAGGGCCCTGGGTTTTGGGGGTGCCAGGGTGCAATACCCCAGGTTTGGGGTGCCAGGGCCCTGGATTTTGGGGGTGCCAGGGTGGGATAGCCCGGGTTTGATGGTGCCAGGGCTACAGTGCCCAGGTTTTGGAGGTACCAGGTAGCAGTATCCCGAGTTTGGGGGTGCCAGGGTGAGATACCCCGGGTATGGGGTGAGATACCCCGAGTTTGGGGGTGTCAGGGCTGCATTACCCAGGTTTGGAGGTGCCAGGGTGAGTTACCCTACATTTAGGGGTTCCAGGTAGCAATACCCTGAGTTTGGGGGTGTCCAGGTTGCAATGCCCAGGTTTGGGTGGTGGGAGCTGTAAGAGCCCGGTTTTTGGGGTGTCAGGGCTGCAGTGCCTGGATTTCGGGGTGTCAGGGCTGTAAGAACCCAAGTTTGGGGGTGCCAGGGTTGAAATACCCGGGTTTTGGGGATGCCAGGGTGAAGTACCCGGGTTTTGGGGATGCCAGGGTGAGATACCCAGGTTTTGGGGTGTCAGGGTGGGATACCCGGGTTTTGGGGTGTCAGGGCTGCAGCACCCCGGCTCTGGGGTGTGAGAGCTGTAAGAGCCCGGTTTTGGGGTGTCACTGCTGTCACTTTGGGGTGTTTGGGGTCTCACCTGCCTCTCAGGTCCCTGCTCCATTTAAATTCTCCCCCAAAGCTGGATTTCAGTTCTGAGCTCCCCCCAGAGCTCGGGGTTCAGGGCAGCACCCCACAAACCTCTCCTGGGTTCTGGTGTGTTGGGATTTTTATTTTATATTTTTATTTATTTTATATTATTTTTATTTCCATGCTGAGCCCTCAGTGCCACCCTGGTGTCCCTGTGCCACCCCTGGGTGACACCACACCAATGGCATCTACTGCGCACAGGTCTCTGTCCCCTCAAATAAATCCCAGCTCTGTGTTTCCTCTTCAAAAAATGTTTTAATTCCAGCAACTTTTAGTTTTGATTTGCTTGATGTGGGAGGGCCCAGCTCAGGGAGGAAAGGTTGATTTTATTTTATTTATTTATATATTTTTTTTAAGGATCTTCCTAAAATAAAGATTAAAATGTTTCCATTTTCCACCTGCAATGTTGTCTTTTAACCAGAGCTGCTTCAGAAGATTAATGGCTTGAAAGTGACAAATTTAGGTTGGATTTTGGGAAGAAATTCTTCGTTTTGAGGGGCTGGGATGGATTTCCCAGAGAAACTGTGGCTGGAATTATCCCAGGCCAGGCCTGGGACAATGGAAAATGTCCTTGCCCATGGCAGGGGTGGCACTGGAGGAGTTTTTATCTCCTTCCAAAACAGGGAACCTTCAAAAATGCTCTGTAATAATTTAAAAATGATCATTAAAAATTATCTTACTTGCCCAGGAACTTTTCTGCCCCCTCCAAACCCTCCTGTGGTGCTGCAGGAGAAATCAGTGACCAGCTCTGTGTGTGGCTGCTGCCCTGGACAGCTTGGAAAAATTCATTTATGGCTTCAGATGTAAAACCTGGAGTGGCAACTGAGGAGAAAAATGTCCTGGGGCTTGGTGGGAATGTCTGGAAATTCTTGGGGAGTTTTGTGTGGAGCTGAGAATTTGAGTTTTGTGTGGAGCTGAGAATTTTAGTTTTGTGTTTTATGTGGAGCTGAGAATTTGAGTTTTATGTGGAGCTGAGAATTTCAGTTTTGTGTTTTATGTGGAGTTGAAAATTTTAGTTTTGTGTTTTGTGTGGAGCTGAGAATTTTAGTTTTATGTGGAGCTGATAACTTTACTTTTGTGTGGAGCTGAGAATTTGAGTTTTATGTGGAGCTGAGAATGTTAGTTTTATATTTTATATGGAGCTGAGAATTTTAGTTTTATATTTTATATGGAGCTGAGAATTTTAGTTTTGTGTGGAGTTGAGAATTTTAGTTTTATGTAGAACTGAGAATTTTAGTTTTATGTTTTATGTGGAGCTGAGAATTTTATTTTTGTGTGGAGCTGAGAATTTCAGTTTTGTGTTTTATGTGGAGCTGAGAACTTTGTGCACAGGAGCTTCCCCACCCCCTAAGAGTTTAATCTTCCCTTGTTTGAATTATCCTCATGTAACTTTATTATTTTTAAACAAGCTGGGGCTGGGTTTTTTCCCATTATTTTAAGTTAATGATACTTTTGGAAATTACCATCGGTTCATTCAGTTTGCCTTGCAAATGAGCCCTTTAAATGCCATTTTTAGTGCTGTTTAACCCATGGATCAGTGTTGTTAATGCTCAATTCTCAATAAAACCCGGTGGCTGATGAATTTCACAGAGAATTGGCTGCTTTGCTTTGTTTGTTTAGTTCAGCACAGCAAACGTGAACTTTGGCAAGGGGGAGAGTTTGATCATTGAAATCCTGCAAGAGTGAAAGTCCTGATTCCTTCAGGCTTTCAGTCCTGCTGAGCTCCAGGTAAATCTGCTTAGCAAATCACACAGAACTGCTCGGTTCTGAGGGAAAGCTCATCTTGGAAGGGATGGATTTATTGGAATTTCATTTTCCCCTGGATTTACTGGAATTCCATTTTCCTCTGGGTTTCCTGGAATTCCATTTTCCTCTGGAATTACTGGAATTCCATTTCCCCCTGGATTTACTGGAATTCCATTTTCCTCTGGATTTACTGGAATTCCATTTTCCTCTGGAATTACTGGAATTCCATTTCCCCCTGGATTTACTGGAATTCCATTTTCCTCTCAATTTACTGGAATTCCATTTCCCCCTGGATTTACTGGAATTCCATTTTCCTCTGGGTTTCCTGGAATTCCATTTCCCCCTGGATTTACTGGAATTCCATTTCCCCCTGGATTTACTGGAATTCCATTTTCCTCTGGATTTACTGGAATTCCATTTTCCCCTGGATTTACTGGAATTCCATTTTCCCCTGGATTTCCTGGAATTCCATTTTCCTCTGGAGTTATCTCTGCTTGGTTTTAATCTGGAACTCTCCTGGCTGGAGTTTGAGTGGATTCAGAAGTTTTTCCCTGTTTTAGGGGCTGTTCTCAGCTCACACTTGTGCCTGACCAGTCAATTTTGGAGGGAAATCTGAATGGATAAACCAGCTTGGAGAGAACTTAAATCCCTCAAATTTGGGGATGAAAAGCTAAATCAGGAGTGGGAAACTTTGAGAACTGGACTGAGGAGTGCTGGATTCTGGAGCAGGGATATTCCAAAAGGATTCCTAATTTTGTTTTAACCCTGGGACACGAACCAGCTTGAAGAGAACTTAAAGCCCTCAAATTTTGGGATGAAAAAATAATCGGGGGTAGGAAGCTTTGGGAACTGGACTGAGGAGTTGTTGGGTTCTTTTTCCAGCAGGGCAGGGACATTCCAAAAAGATTCCTGTGTTCATTTTGAAATGATCATTTAAAATGATCTTGCTTCTCAGGATCTCACCAGGAATCCTTATAATAATATCCTAACATAATAATATATATTATATATATATATCCTAATAATCTTGTTTGAACCCTGAGCAATGAACCAGCTTGAAGAGAACTTAAAGCCCTGAAGAAAAGATAAATCAGGAGTGGGAAACTTTGAGAACTGGACTGAGCAATGCTGGATTCTGGAGCAGGGATATTCCAAAAGGATTCCTCATCTTGTTTTAACCCTGGGACATCAACCAGCTTGAGGAGAACTTATAAACCCTTAAATTTTGGGATGAAAAAATAAATCAGGAGTAGGAAGCTTTGAGAACTGGACTGAGCAGTGCTGGATTCTGGAGCAGGGACGTTCCAGAAGGATTTCTGATCTTGTTTTAACCCTGGGACACAAAGCAGCTTGGAGAGAACTTAAAACTCTCAAATTTTGGGATGAAAAAATAAATCAGGAGTAGGAAGCTTTGAGAACTGGACTGAGGAGTTGCTGGGTTCTGGGGCAGGGACATTCCAAAAGGATTCCTGTGTTCATTTTTAAAGGAACATTTAAAATGATCTTGCTTCTCAGGATCTCACCAGGAATCCTTATAATAATATCCTAACAATAATATATATAATATATATATAATAATATATCCTAATAATCTTGTTTTAAGCCTGGGACACGAACCAGCTTGAAGAGAATTTAAAGCCCTCAAATTTTGGGATGAAAAGATCAAATCAGGAGTAGATTTGAGAACTGGACTGAGGAGTTGCTGGGTTCTGGGGCAGGGACATTCCAAAAGGATTCCTGTGATCATTTAGAAATTATAATTTTAAATGATCTTGCTTGTCAGGATCCTTTTAATAATATATCCTAATATAATAACATATATTATATATATATAATAATAATAATAATATATCCTAATAATCTTGTTTTAACCCTGAGCATGGAACTTGCTTGAAGAGAACTTAAAGCCCCCAAATTTTGGGATGAAAAAATCCAATTGAGGGTAGGAATCTTTGAGAACTGGACTGAGCAGTGCTGGATTCTGGGACAGG